GGGCTGAATTCTGCTAACAAGTATGTGAGACTGGAAGCAGACTGAGCCTTGAGAAGAGACCACAGCCTTGGTCAGCATCTTGACTGCACCTTTCAGATCAGACCCTTAGCAGAGGACCCAGCTAAGCATGATGCGCAGGAACTGGGAGATGAGAAATCTGTGTTGTTCTAAGCCGCTAAGTTTATAGTGATACTGCTCGCGTTTTTTTCTTAGAAGCGCCCACCCATATGACTCTCCAGTGTTTGAAACAAAGAATTTTTAGATTCAACAATGTGTGAGAGCAATAGGGAACATTTCCTGTAGCCTCCCTTGGACGCGGAAGTCCCCGCCTCCAGCACCTTGGACAGTTCATCATCCAACACCCCCCACCCCCAACCTGAACTCTGATACCACTGCAAAGCTCAGCATCTTACAAGATAATCATTCTATCTATGGACAGCTCTTCCTTTATTTTTCATAATTATTTTATATTTATGCAACACTAATTCTGTGCTTTTTACTATGCTCTCATCTATATACTTCCTTTAAATTATTCCTCATGATAATTCTATTGTTGATACTATTATTATCTACTTTATCAATATTAGGAAATAAAAGCTCAGAGAAGTCAAGCAATTTTCCCAGGACTTATAAGCATCAGACAGGTTTTAACCCAAGTCTGTCTAACCCATGATCCATATTCTGAGCCACTGTGGTGTCCTGCTCCAATCTTCTTAGAAATCTCTTACTTACGTTAAACCAAACACTTCCTTCTAATGTATTTTGGATGTTTTAACAATAGAAGTGGGATAAAGATTAAAACAATGTAGACCCATGTACCCAACATCCAGTTTAAAAATGAAACATTATTAATGGAAGTAAAGCTCTTGTTTTTCTACTACATACTGCCTTGCCCTCCCTTTCCATTGAGAAGTAAGCACGATTCTGGATTTGGTAGTCCTCACTTCCATGTATTTATTTATTGTTTTACTTCATATATACGTATCACTGAACAATAAATAGTATTATTGTGCACAGCTTAAAATGTAAATAAATTGTTCTCATACTAGAGGTATTCTTATTGAACTTCTTTTTCCCATTCTAATTGTTTGTGAGATTTATGAATATACCATATTTTCTTTAGCCATTCTCCTGTTGATGGACAGTTAGGTTATTTCTGTTCTTAGCCATCACAATCAATTCCGCTAGGGAAGTTCTTATATATGTCTTTTTGTGCATAGGTGCAAGAACTTTTCTAGGTTGTATATCTAGGAATATATTTAGTTCCACCAGCTATCACCAAGTTACTCTCATAATAAGGTTTTGAGATACCTCACCATTGTGTTTGCCCTCCCTGGAGAAGCTCTGATTAGTTAGGAACACTTCTCCAGGACAATGAGATGCTTGCCTGCTTTATCTTGGACAGAATACCTCTACCAGCGGTCTGAGATTGCAGGAAATGTTTCAGAAGCTTTATATTACTGTAACTTGCTATTGATATTTTAGTTATACAATAATCCCTAAGTATTTTTCCACATGAATTACTCTTAAATCAAGTATCCCCAGTTTGTATCTACACAGCTGAATTTTTTAAGCTTAAGTACAGGATTTTAATTCTATCCCTATTGCATTTCTCTTTGTTAGTTTTAGCCATCCCTAGAGTGTATAGAGATAGTTTGAGTCCTGGTTCTGCTATTTCATCCATAAATTTGATAAGCGTGCTTTCTGCATCTTTGTCTAAGTCCTTTATAAAATAGAGATGATAGAGCCAGAGATGAAACCCTTCAACATACTACAAGATGTTTCCACAGTGTTGATATAATCCAATACCTGGGCATGGTTGGCCAACTCACCATGATGCTAGCTAAAAGTGTTATGCAGTGCTCAATTTCCTATTCAACCCACAAGAATATCAAGGCAAACTTTGTCCAAGACCTTGCCCTATCTACAGTATCAGCTGACTTACATTATCTTACCATCTGGAGCTAGGACGCCACTTAATACGCATTGTTCTCAGTGAACCCATGCTAGCTTCTAGTGATTTCTATCTCCCCTCTAAGACCTCATAGACAGTTTGAATAGTAAATAATCTTAGAATTTCTATGGTGATCCGTATCAAATTCACCAGACTGTGCAATCTGGAACCCACTTTCTTCTATGAAAATCCAGATTTTTCTCATCTCTAGTCTTCTGGTTTCTTCCCTCAATCATTTCTGAATTGTGGTTTTTATGAGCATTTATAAAAGTTTCTTCAAAATTCTGGCATGAAATATGTTTCCAGGTTTGGAAACTTTTAAAGCCTCCAGGTGACTACTTACTTTTTGTTTGCTTAGTGTGAGTTTCAAGATTACTTTAACAACATCGATTCTGTTCTCTTCTGCTGAAAGATCTCTTCTGCTGAAAGTAAAGAAACAAAATACTTCAGTGGTTCTCCTTTCTCTTCTCATCTTTAACCTTGCACCAAGTTCTGCAAGCAACGTGCCTGTCTTTTTAAATCTGAACATAGCTACTAAAAGCTTTTGTGTTGTCCCTGACATTTTTCTGAAGCCTCTGCTCATTCCAAGCTTTAGACTTCCTGGCACTATTCTTACAGGCATATGAGACTCTTTTGTATTTGTCCTTGGTTCTGTTTTTCTCCTTTCATCTTTTGTATTTGACCTTTTAATATATAAGTTAATCGAAGAGCTGGCTGGGCAGCCTCACTGTTCCTTCAGGGTACCACTTCATTTTCCTCTTCTTTCCTCAGAAACAGTGCTATTGCTTGTCCACTTCTAGAGAGGAAGAAGGGGGTCCACAGACAAACAAGAAGCAGCAAAGTCATCACCTAACAAAAATCTCCTTCCATGCCAGCCCTACTTCCTACAGTTGGTTTTTTCTTCTTCTATTCCCTTCACCTTTGTGGAGACAGAAGATGTCAGGGAATCAGAAGGAAACCGTGGACTCACAGATGCAAAGGACTTTCCAGCCTCTTACAGCATTTTGGCCCTATGATTTGTAGAGTTTTATGGGACTAAAGATGCTCACTGGCTCCCCCAGGGAGAAACCAAAGAAGCTATCAAACTGCTGCATTACAAAATCTGGATTCCAAAACGTGTGTGTGTTGGGGGGTGTTGCATCTAGAGAGAAAAACTGGTTGGAACTGTCTGTTTTTCATTTCCTTCCACATTAAAGCTGAGATTTTTCTATGATGGCTTGGTACGTAGAATGGCATGATTTAGGGTCGCTCACTCCGGAGACCCTCGTCCTAAGTGTCTATTTTCTCTGGTTTTCACTGGCTGTGATCCATTGGCAAGAAAATGAGAATAGACCAGCTGAGCTGCAGGCTACTCCCTGCATACTACAAGCATTTCCCCCTTCCTGAACCACTCTTCCAACCCTGAAATATAAGAAAAATCTTACTACTTCCTGCCATCATCAGTGGGAGGGCAACAAGTGAACTAATGACATAATATTTTGTAAATCTCCTGGATAAGGAAAGGGCTACATTATATGTTGTATGTGAATAACAGTGCCCATATCTGGCAGGTGCTTGGAATTTGCTGGCTGTTCTTTTACTACAAGGCTATATTGTTATTTTTGTTTCTCCAAATAATGTCTCTAGTCCATTTCCCCCCAGTACTGAGGAAGTCTGATTGAGATTTTATAATTTCAGTGGCTCCCATGCTCTCACCCAAGTCTGCCGCCTTCACCATCATTAAAAAATGCCCCATTCAGACACATGTATATGCCCGAGCCCCTCATACAGCCAGTGATCCCTAAGTGCTAAACAGTTTCGTCCTGGACTTGGAGCCTGAGCCTGTGGAGCGAGGCTCGGCTAATTTAAGTGCCTCTTGTAACAGAAGGCAACTGGAATTCAATAGAGATAAATGTAAAATATTGAACTAGGGAGTTGAACCATCAGCAGGGCAGGATTCTAAATGGAAAGGTTATGGCTGAATGACTAAGCAGAGGAGAGCACACAATATACCCAAGGATTCTTGCAGAAATACAAGTCCCTGGTGGACCCTGCCGAGAAGAAGAGAGAGGATGCTGCAGAACAGTACAGCTAAAGGAGAGTCTCTTGGACTCAGTGGAAGCTGCTGCTGGGAGGTACCCCTCCCCGTGTACACTGGCTGACAGGGGACAGAGGAATTTGGCCGGTGATGTGAATCTGCCAGGTTTTAGTTGCTACTGTGAAGAGTCGATATTGCTTTTTCTCTGCCAGGCCCTAAACACCAGAAGTAAAATGTCTAATGGTAACCTGAGGCGTTGGTTCTGTCTACGAGAAAAAACAGCCACTCAGGTTGGTTAATTCAATCAAATGTCTGGCCAAGTTCCATGAAGCGATCGATAGAATCAGTTGTCTGACCAAATGGACAAGCCAAATCAGGGAGCACAATCAATCCCACTGCCCCACAGAGCTTCAGCCAAACAAGGCACCGTATTAGAGCAGCAAGGGCTCTCCTGGCTGTCTGTGAAGTTTCCTTACAAAGAGCCCATGGCATTGGCAATGAGCCTCATAGACACCCAACATGGCTCCCCCTTTCCCTTCCTTTAAAGTATGATTTCATAGAATTCATGAAAAGACAGGGACTTGCTCTTTAGACTGCCCACACCAGGAAAAGAAAAATGAATGTGGAAAACCAGTTAAAAGGCATGGATGAGCATAAGGTTAGATTAACCAAGTTTTCAAGTTGGTCCAAAAATTTCTTGGGACACAAAAATCATTTGCACTGTTTTCTGGCCAGTGTCCACCAACTCTTAACAAACTAGCAGACGCCCCTGTAAGTCCTTTACCTAATGTAGCCCACCAAAGGGTATTAAAGACACACCAGTTATTAACCTCGAAGACAAAAGAGGCTACATGTCACAATTTCTTCCTTTATTAACCTCCTCCGAGCCCACTTTGGGAGTCCCCAGTCCCCAATGAAGAGAGTATCCATCGGTGAAATGAGGGCAGCTTTACAAAGCTCTATATAGTGTTGACATATATACTGAGCTCTTTTGGCCCAATTTTCAAATTCATTGCTCGGTTTTGGCAGGAAACGACATGGAGGCTTCTGCTGGGAAGATGCTTTGCTTCCCGAGTGCACGAGAAAGAGGATCCACGACACTGGCATTGTCCACAAGAGCACTCCCCTGCCTACTCACAGGAAGGATCTCTTATTTTCTAATCAACCTAGAGCAAGGGGTCCCTTTCAGACACTTTGGCCAGGCCATAGAGTGGTTTCTCTTACATCCATGCGTTTCAGCAAAGGGCTTCCTCTAAGGCTCATGTCACCCTCATCCAAGGTCCACAAAACCCTCTGAAAGAACTGAGCTCATCTGCTTTCCTCTGTCACTTGAGAGGCTGGTGTGCACGGAATCCTCATTCTTGAGACCAGAGTCACAGTAAGCCTTTCCAACCAGTTTTTAATTTAGACAAAGATTAGCAAAAGCACAGTTATTACCACTAAAAGCACCCTTAAAGAGGCCTGTAAATACTGAGCCGAATAGCAGGAATCTGACTCTACTCTCCGAGGCCCTGAGTTCCTCAAGGCCCTTGAAATGTACCTGCGTCTTCCCCATCAGAGCCCTTTGTTCTCCCTTCTGTCCTGTCTCCCTGTTCATGGCTCACCTTCCCACTGCGGGATGAGGTAGGCGGCTGGGAGGTGCATCCCTGGATTCAGACCCGGGAGACCAGAGGCTTTCCCATTAGCATTCGGCTGTTATGCTCTCTTGGGCCCTAAAGACTAAAGAGAAGTGTCACGTCAAGAGCTTTAGAAAAATCTCAAAAATCTCGAGAGTAGTGGTTCTTTATTAATTCACTTAATCAGTAAATTACATAATTAATATATTAAACGGTACCTAGAGGCCCAGAATATTGAAAAGGAATTCTGTATTGGCTGCATATTTCGATGGTGATTCTAGATGCTCCCGGTGACAGCTCCAGAATTTCTGTAGAGGAGGGGCTTAAGGGTGCAGTTTGGCTTGAAGGAGAGGCTTCGGGAACAAAACTGAGATTGAATGTTTATTTGGGGTGGCTTTTTGAGAGGGGGGGGTGGGATGGAGATCGGGGTCACTCCCGGACATTCCTGTGCTCTGGGCCCTCCTACATTCTTGCTGCTCTGAATCACACCTGCAAATCGAGATGGCTTTGCGAGAGCGCCCAGCTCTACCCTTCTTTTCCTCTGTCCCCTTCCTGCTCTGCGTCCTCTCTTGATTCCTTATGTCGCACTTTGCCCCATTAGCTCTATACCTGCACCTTTGCCCTTTCTCTCATCACTAACTTTGTTTCAAAATCTGTCTTCTTTTTATCTCAATCTAGTAATGACCAGCCTGGAAGGCAGGAATGCCCAGGGGACTGCCATAAACCCAGAATTATGACGTAAGAGCCAAGGCTAAAAGCTGAGATCACTTTTCTCTTTTGAGAGCCATTGTTTTGGGTGGTTCAGCCCATAAAGGATTCTGGATCTTAAAAGAATCTCAAACGTTTTTATTTCTTTTCCTTTTTACAAGCAGGAAGAAACAGGATGATGCTGCAGAGCCAGCCATTTTGTTTCTGAGGTCCCTGCCTTTTCAAGAACGAGCTGGGACCTATTGCTTCTTTCTGGAGCTCTTGACTTTTTAGTCTTTCCCTCCCCACTCCTTCACCCTCCACCCCCAGTAGAGGTGGAAATGGTGAGTCTGCAACCAAGGTCAGACAAACCAGTGGAGGATGAAAACAATAGACTGACCTTTATAAATTCACAGTATTGGATTTGAAAGAGCTTGAACTTGGACACCAGTGGCTGAGGGTAAAGGCATTGAATGATAATGCTGCCCACTGGGAGCAATTCCATGGGAGGAAATTATTTCTCCCTGACATCTGATGCTGGGAAATTTTCTCCTGGGAACGACTGAGTGAGGGTGTGAGGGAGTAAAAACTCTCACACACTGTTTGCACCTTTCTGGAGAGTAATTTGGCAACGTGTGTCAAAACACACATGCCCTTTGACCCATCCTTTTCCTCCAGGACTTTATCTTCGTAAAGCAATTAAGAAAGTGTGCAAGGTTTATTTATAAAGCATTGGTAGAGATACTGAAAAGTAGAAACAACCTAAGTGTGTAGAGTCCGGGTAAATAAATGATGGTGCCTCATACAATGGAATACTATGAAACCATTAAAAGTGAATTGTATTTGTTGACATGAAAAAATATGCATAAGATATTGTTGAGCGGGGTTGGAGGGGCAGGAAGGATATGAATGTAAACTCAACCCTGGCCCTCAAAAAGCATGCATTTTAATAGGGGATTGATGACAAGTAGAATCTTGAATAGGCTTTGAAAATAAAATAAAATTAGAGCGTGGTTGGTTTTTGTTTTTTTTTTTCTACAAGAATCCTTGTTTTATACAAGCTCCAAATTACTCAGCCTCAAGCAGAGCAGGAAGAAAATAAAGAAGACTGCATTAGGTTGGGAGCATCTCCCTGAATAATCGAGAGTTCATTATGGGCTCTGAGTACATCAAAATCCTATTAATTCATTAGCTCAGCACTTGCGTTTTCCTTCTTTCCCCCTCGGCTGCCAGCCTTTTACCCTATGATGTAGTTTATCAGCAGCCCCAACGTGGGGGGTAAGGAGGGGAAATAAAAAAGGATAAAAATCCAAATGATTCCATTTTGTTACTTGTTAACAGCAATAGACTAGGGTGGGTGGTGAAGGCAGGCGGCACTAACCACACGGTGTCTGGGTGGCTCGGATTAGAGGAACAGCCTCTGGCACACAGTAGGGCCTCGTGATGGGCATCACATAGATTCTGAATGAGGGAATCTGCTCTTAGGCCTTGGAGCCAAAGGCCCCCAAACCACAAGCTCCACTCTGCAGATTTCCCGGGATTTCCAATAAGAAAGACAGTTCAGCCAGAAGGGGCTCATCCTCTACTGGCCCCCACTCCCAACTTCTCTGCAGACATGTGACTCCTCCTGTCCCTGTGGGGTCTCTGAGTGATATTAAGGCTCCACGTAAATGGCCTGATGCAAGGCCAGGCAGCACTTGAATGAAGCATTCTCATGATCCGATTCCCCAGGTTCACCCAACGTTACACCTACTGTCCATGCCATTCCTCCATAATCTTTTTCCCACTTGAATATCATAAATCTAAATTTTTTTCTTGTCCACAAGGAGAACAACTCCAGCAACTGTGGTCTCTAAAACTGTTATTTTTCAAAGTATTCTTTAGGGAATAAAAATACAAAAGGAGACGTCGTGCATCACGCCATGAAATCATATTTGCCGCTACTCTCCCTATTTGAAATGTGGTGCATCTTGTCTGCCATCAGGGCCAATGGTCTTATTTTCTTTCCCACATAACCATGACGTAAGTTTTTATTTTCTGTCCTGTTTCTCTTAGCCAAAGCTGCATTCTTTTAAGATCGTTCAAGACCTTTAAGGTATCTACCTATATCCTGCTGCTCTGCCTGTGCAAGCAATAGCGTGAAAAATTTAAAACCTCAGACCTCCCAGAGACTGTGCGTGTGTGAAATTATGTATAGAACAATATTTAAGTTTAAATTAATTAAGAGGAAAGAAGAGACTGGAATGTGTGTTCTAGAACAGGAAGGTGTCCTAGGGTGAGAGATTCCTACTGGATAACCCACCAAGTCAGTAACTAAGTGACGACTGTATTTCTGGCTGATGTGTTCGTGCGAACACAACCAAGGTCCCTCCACAGATGAGAATATGCCTCTCAGGAGGTCACAGAGGGCTGTAACCCCCACCCAGGGGTTCCCCCTATAGCTTACCTACAGGGGAAGCCGTGCTATCCCTGAGAGCTGTCGGATCCTGTGCTACTGAGAAAGCACCTCAGAGCCACAGCAAGGAGAAACAATGGTCGAGGCATCCGCGGGTCTAAAATAGCCACGTGAAAACATCTCTGTGTGATGTTTAAATCATATCAAGAACTCTTCCATCTAAGGCGTGGAAAAGTGTGGTCTAGTGAAGGAAGTGTGGTCCCTTCACTTCCTTCTAGTGGAAAACAGGGACCTGGGACCTAGATCCCCATATGCTTTGGACAAGCCCCTTAGGCTCAGGAACTCATTTGCCCCTGGAACTGGGATAAATAGCAATGGAACTAGGGCCCTTCCCAGCTGATCATTCTAGGGCTCTTTGATACATTCATCTAAATGGAATGGGATGGGTATTCTTGTTGGATTCCTTTCAGCCCAATAATTCTTACGGTTTAACTAAAAATAATAATAATTTAAATTAAGTTTGGGTATTTTGTCCTTATGCCCCTAAACCAGGGATGATAACATGTTTACAGGTATATTTGCAATAGCATAAGCCTGCCCAAAACTTTCAAGTTTCTTTTGTGAACTTGCTGAAGGTGACCTAAGAACCTGCACCTGAACTGTCCTTCCAAGACCAAGGCCCTATGGCCCCAGAGCAAAGTCCCGCCAAAGTCCAGCTACAGAGAGGTACCTTCTCAAGGACGCTTTACAGGTTCCATTACGCGCACGTGGCCCCCAGATAGTAACTGTTTATTTAGCCATCTGAAGCATGATGATGAATCACTGTTGTTTTCTCTTTAAACAAACAAGCCTGACCTCGGGGGTTTTTTTCCTTGTGAATAGCTAGTGTCTCCCTATTTCGTGTAATTGTTTAAAGAGCTTTGGGTCCAAGGAACAAGCTTCAAGTCATCCTTTTAATAGCTCCAGCTTCTCCCGCGGAGACAATGCCTTCATATTACAGAAGGTGCTCAGGTTTGAAACGGTCCCTCTCTCCATCCATCAGCCTCGTTGATACCCTTTGTCTCTGCCGGTTCATGTACTTCACATGCCTTCTCTTCCCATTGGCCCTTTGGCTTTAATTTTCACCATCTGAGTGTCTGGAGCTGGTTATCTGGTGTATCCAGTCCTCTGCCTCCTGCCTGGTCCTGGATCAATTACAGGAGGCCCCTGTAAGTTACTGCATTTCCCATCAGTTTCCACTGCAAAGCTCGATGCAGAGAAAAGCAGTGCTCAAGGGCTGGAGTTCACGGCAAAACTCTTGAAGGAAGCCAGAAAGGCTTCTCTGTAATGCAGTGGAGGGAGGGCAGTTCCACTTTCCTCAGGGCTGGCCTCACGGAGAAGAAAGAGCTTGCCTTCATTTTGATGCTAGGACTAACTAAAAGTTCCTTTTAAAGGTTCTCTCTCTTGCCCTGGCTGCTCACTTACTTTTTTTTTTTTTAGTAAAAGGCTTTTTTTCATACCTCATCGCAGTATATTTCTTCTAATTCCTGGCCAGGGACTGCCAAAGGAAGGGCCCTTAGCTGGCCATGAAGGAGAGAAAGCACGGCACTTAGAAGGGGGAGGAGAGAAGTCAGAGCCAGACACTTAGTTCTCGCAGGAGATGGCAAAACATTACCCAAAAGGCTGGGAAGAAAATTGCAGCTTAATTTGACTTGAGGCAGACATCCCTTTTTTTTCCCCTTCTTATTTAATTCTAAGCAAACTGTATCGATATGAGAGATAAAGGGGTCTGCAGGCACGTGTACAAGAGTACTGTCCAAATAACCCTGCTTCTCCCAACCCTCTGGTCCATCCAGCAGATGGTTGTCCCATGTGTGTGCATGCTCCCAGCATCCCAAATTCTGTCCAACAAAGATCCAAAATTCAAGCTCCCCAGTACTCTCTAGCGTCAACCATCACGCCTTGCTGATGCTGGGCAACATATGTGTGACTGGATCTCTGCATTCAACTAGCTTACGGTATAATTGCAGGGACAAGACAGAGACAAATGAAACAAAGAAAACCAGTATAAAGCCATATATCAGTCAGTGATGAAATTTGTAGGTTTTGCAGTTCTGTTTTGACCGGTACTCATAGACTTGTCATCGATCGATAAAATACTTGCTAGTGATATCAGTGTGTCATCAAAATTAATAGCACACCATGACTGAGCTCCACTTATTTACTCATTCAACAAGTACTTACTATGTACTTACTCTAAGCATGCTTTGCATTTGTAAAGAGCTTTACAGTTTGCAAAACACTTTCACAAATACCTACTCATTTGATTCTAATTCGGCAGGCAGGTTTATAGGAGATGCACAATGAGCTTCGGAAAGCGGAAGTGGTTTTCCTAAGGTCGCTGGGTTATTAAATCTGGCACCCAAGATTGTAACTTCCTCTACAATCCACGGGCCATCCACCAGCCCACCCTTTATACAGCCGTAGACAACGAATATGAGTGTGAGTCTGCGGTTAGCCAGTGGCAAGAGGGGTAGTTCTGACCTTATGCATCCTACCCACCCCTGCCTCCTACCCAGAGATGGATAAAAAGGCTCTTCTGCAAGTACTCAAAATAGGAATCTTAGGAATTCCCTTTCTAAGTTTCATATGGATCTGCACACATACTCTACTGGCCCTTAAACTCAGCTTCTTTCATCTCTCACACTTTTGTGTGGAGAAAACCAAACTGCCGATTTGTGATCTTTGTGAAAGTCTCCAGAGGCCCGGGATGAACTTTCCAAACTCACCTCAATTTCAGACTGAGGGTCATGGTGTTTGTACAGCTTTCCTCATCCTCCTTGCCCCTCAAGCTCTGATGAAAATGATGACTGAGGGCAGTTGGGATGGGAGGAGAGAGAGGAGGGAGCTGGGCTTCGTACGGGACATTACTGTTTGGGGAGGGTGTGTGTATGTGTAGGCTAGGGTAGACATGCTGACTTCATTCTATGTTGTAGCTGACTGCACTA